CACCAGTAAATTACAGTAACCCTAATTCCCTAATTCTGAGAGCACATAAGATGTTTTGAACATTTACAAAACAGAACTTTACATTTACCAAACAAAACAAGGAGAAAGCAATAAATCTAAATTACAGAGAATGATCATTAGAATTCAGAAACTGGGGGACCACACAGATTTCTTTTTAAATGCTAATAATATAAAATAATAATATGAATAACAATTTACATTTCTTATTATTGGGCATTTATAGAATGCTGATCCCAACATTTAGAGAAGCACATTCTTTACAAAATTTGAACATATATTAGCCTATAAAGCAAGTCTCCACAAATAGCAAAGAATCAAAATCATACAGAACAAGAATAAGAAGCTTTTTAAAGTAACATTCAGGGAACACAAAAGGAGTACTTAGAATTAAAGTAAGGCAGTAGAAGAAAAAAACTCAGCAGTATGTGTAGAAGATTAAATTGAAGAAATCTCCCAGCAAGTAGAACAAAAAGACAAAAGACAGAAAATTAGAGAGAAAAGCTAAGAATATTAGAGCATCAGCTTAGTAGTTGCAACAATCCCAAGCTAGGGATTTTGAAAAGAGAGAACAGAAGGTGTTATATTTTTTTAAGTTTTCTTGTTGTTTGTTGTTTTATTTTTTAAGACCAGGGCAAACTGAAGCCTTGTGACTCAAGAGAAAGACATGCTAAGGTCTCTCAAAGCAAGGCTAGTGTGGATGCCATACTGCTGCATTTCCAACTTCAGGGCAGAATGTCCAAGAGAAGTTGCCTCAGTTGCCACTGTCACCTCTGTGTCAGTTTACAGCTCATTCACTTGACCACATCCTATGTATGTCTACTCGCTGGCTCCAGGAGGACTTCTCTAGATGGCCTGTCTCTGGTGAGCCCCATTTTCTTAAGACACACTCATGACCTGGCTTTGAATTCTGCAGAAGTTCTTAAAACTATTATAAAAATTTACACCAATCCCAGACTGTGACTCGAAAACTCTATTTAGCCTGTTTTCTCCAAGACTATTATCATTTTGTTACAATGCTAAGTTTGAGCTTATTTCTGAAGATTACCGAATACAAATGATAGAACTCCAAAGAAAAGCAGGGACTCGGTTAGCACAGATGTCAGTATGGGAGTTGCTCTGGGAAGCAATAATGGATGTGATAGCTCAGGACCAAGGGTTGAGAACATGACAGTAACATTCTACTTTGTTCAGAAGTCATTGTGTGAACATGAGTGTTTGCTTGATCATTGTTGTTTTACTTGTACATATAAATTTTATATATTCTTATGGTTTATGAGACATTTAAACTTCCTTTAAAGGATGAACAGTAGAGTTTATCTCAGAAATATTTTTTAACATTAAAAAATCAAATGCTGCCACCAAGTGAGGATGATAAGGAAGCCACTATATTTGCTAAGTGGGAACCACATCCTAAAGACAGTATGTTTGTTGGCCTGGGGCACCAGCAGGCAATGGGTTCACAATAAGTTGGTAGATGTGGTAGATTTTATTATTGCTCCAATATCTAACCATAATCTGTGTGAGAGGATGATACTTCTGACTATTAATGTCATTTGGTACTAGAGCTCAAGTGCAAGTGACACGTGTCAGTTATGAGTGGAATCTTCAAAGAATTCCACGGTTCTGCTGTCCATGAGGCCACATACCCCATACAGGGACAACCCCTTGAGTCTAGGTCCCAGAATTACAGTTGACCAACAACAGATAATAATGAAAATAAGAAATAAATCTTTGTTGTTAGAAGCTGAGTTGCCTGGGGTTGTTTGTTAGACTCAACTATACTACACTCTTCAAGAACTTTCAGAAGGAAAGGAGAAAACAGAAGTCTAAGGCTACAGAATGTGAGGAAAGGATTTCATATAAGGCCCAGGATGTTGATTGACAGAGATGAATATTAAAGAGAGAACAAAAATACCAATTAGGAAGGAGAATGACAGACGTTAGGTGTCATGGACAATGGAAAAGGATAAGGTCAAGGAGACAGGGTGGAGCCTGTGCCTCAGAGACTAGACCAAGGGAAGAGAATTGGGAAGAAATAGAAAGGAAGAAATTTGAGCAAGCATGAGGAACATAGTCCCAAGTTTTGGAGAAAGTCATTGGTGAGTATAGATGACAAGAGTAAGATGTGGACAAAGAATAAATAAAGCATTTAAGAATGAGTTCGGTTATAGTGGCATTTTTTACAAAACTAAAACAAATACTTCTAAAATTTGTGTGGAAATACAAAAGATCCAAAACAACAAAAGCAATTTTAAGAACAAAACTAAAGGTATCATAGTCCCTAGTTTCAAACTATATTACAAAGCTATAGAAATCAACACAGTATGATATTAACATAAAAACAGAAACACAGATCAATGGAACAAAATAGAGAGCCCAGAAATAAATTAGCACAAATATAAAGAATTAATTTATAACAAAGGAGTAAAAATATAATGGGCAAAAGACAATCTCTTCAATAAATGGTGCTAGAAAAACTGGATGGCCACATGCAAAAGATACCCTGTTTCCCCGAAAATAAAACAGTTCTTATTAATTTCTTCTCCCAAAGTTGCGCTAGGTTTATTTTTAGAGGATGTCTTATCTTTCCATGCACTTGGTCTTATTTTCAGAGAATGTCTTATTTTTGGGAAAACACGGTACTAGACTACCATCTTACATTGTATACAAAAATTAATTTAAAATGGATTAAGGATTTAAAATGTAAGAATTGAAAATATAAAATTCCTGGAAAAAAACACATAGGTGGTAAGGTCCTTGATAAGTTCCTTGTTTTAATACTTAGATATGACTCCAAAGGCAAGAAAAACAAAAGCAAAAATAAACAAATGGGTTTATTCCAAACTAAAAAGCTTTTGTACAGGAAGGGAAACCATCAACAAAACTAAAAGGGAACCTATTGAATGGGAGAAGATATTTGCAAATCATCTATACTAATAAAAGGGTAATATGCTAATTAGACTGGGCATCTTCCAGATGAAGCCAATATGGTGGGGGCTGAGGCAGAGGTGGTTTTGGGCAACAGACTGGCAAGGGAGAGCAGTTAGGGGGCCACCAGGCCAGCAGGACAGAGCAGTTAGGGGGCAAACAGGTTGGCAAGCAGAGGCAGTTAGTGCCAATCAGGCCTGCAGGCAGAGGCAACTAGAGACTATCAGACAGGCAGACAGGTGCGCAATTAGGAGCCAGCAGTCCTGGACTGTGAGAGGGATGTCTCATATTGGAGAGGCTAGGCTGATGGACACCCCACCCACCCCTGTGCATGAATTTTGTGCACTGGGCCTCTAGTTTATTTGATAAAAGGTTAATATCTGAAATTAAAAGTTCACACAACCCAACAACATAAAAACAAATGACCCAATTATAAAATGGGTAGACTATTTAAACAGACATTTTCCCCATGAATACTATAAATTGCCAATAAGCACAAGAGAAGATGTTCAACATCACTATCAGGAAAATGCAAATAAAAACCACAATTAAACATCATCTCACATCTGTAAACATCAAATAACAAGTATTGGAAACAATGTGAAAAGAAGAAAATCCTCATGCACTCTTGGTGAGAATGTAAACTATTGTGGCCACTATAAAAATAAAAAAAAACTGTATGAAGATTCCTCAAAAAGTTAAGGTTAGAACCAGCTAATCAACTTCTGGATATTTATCTGAAGACTGAAAAAAAAAAAAAAAAAAAAAACTAGTTTAAAAGGAGATATGCACCTCTAGGTTCATTGCAGCATGATTTATAATAGTCAAGTCAAGGGCCCACCAACAGATAAATGATTAAAGAAAATGAGATACATACATTCACACACACACACACACACACACACACACACACACACACACACTGGAATAGTATTCAGCCATAAAAAAGAAGAAAAATTGCCATTTGCAACAACGCAGATAGACCTTGAAAAAAGTTAGACAGATAAAGATAAATATAGTATGATTTAATTTATATGTAGAATCTAAAAAGAACTGAATAAAACAGAAACAAATTTATAGATACAGAAAACATATTAGTGGTTACTAGTAGGGATGAGTCTTGGAAAGAAGGTGAAATGGTTGAAGGGGATCAATTGTATCGTGATGGATGATAACTAGACTTATAGTAGTGAACACTATGCAATGTATACAAATATCAAATTATAATGTACTCCTAAAGTATAATATATATGATCTTGTACACCAATTTTATCACCATAATAATTTAAAAAACAAGAGTGATGTTAGTTTTAAAGAGATAACATGAAGTCTATGTGCATGTTGGTACTACATTCCCTGATTCTCTTTCAGTAAATGTTGACCCAGCTACCTGCTAATCACAAAAGTTACATATAATTACAATTAGTTGTATATATACACAATAAAAATTAAGAGATATCGTGCCTTCATAATAGCCTGTACATACATAAAGGCTTACTGGTCTTAGGACTATTCATCAGTATTTTGAGGAAATTAGTACAACAAAGTACAATATTTTTGAAGAAAATTGAAATGAATTTTTTCTAAATGTTATAAAATAATTTGCCATCACTAGAAGTGATTATTAAAAGCTTACTAAAAGTCATTTTATATAGTATATTGTTTTTTATGTTTAAGTTGCTGAATTTTTGAAAATTAAATGTTAAAATGTTTCTGACATGTGATTGAATGAGCAAATTTAAGGAAACAAATAAGTAATAAATTAAATTTCCAAAATAATAAACAATTTGGAAATGGGTTATAGTACAAACTAAATTTGATCTCAAGATTCACTAGATTTTTTTTTATTCAATTGTGCAATTAGTTTCTGAATTGCACTTCTCAAATATTTGATTGCAGATTCATTCAAGCTTACAATTACATTAATAAAGTATTATATTTCTTTGTTCAAGTCATTTAGCCTTTGATTTCCTTAAATTCTTTTACTGCAAATCTAGAAATTTAATAATGCAATGCTAAAGTAATAAACGAAAACTTGATTCCATAATCACCCCGGCAGAGGCTGGTTCTAAGCCATTTGGAGCAGTGGTTGGCCGAAATCTTCTCCTTCTCCATGTTTCAGATCTATTTTCCCTTGTGATTTTTCCATTCGGGGAAGGAGGTCGAGGAGGAACAGGCATCATATAACTGTTAATGTTCAGAGGTTGATACTGTTTCATTCCCTGTGAATTGTCCATGGAGTTCCTGAGCTTCATCATTGCCTTTTTGCCCTGTAATCACATTCCATGCCATAAGAACCAGTGAAAGAGAATTAAGTGGTGATTCAATGTCACCCAAAATTAGAGATAAGAGTGTATGATTGACATTGCAATGCAACACAACTGATATAAATAGGCAAACTCAAAACAATCCATTCTGTTTGAAGCAGCCATAGCAAATTAAGTTTTTATGAATTTCTAACATTATTTAAGTGTAATTTTAAAACAAATATACAGTGATGGCATCTTTAGAATATTTTTGGGATTTTTCCTCAACAACCCCTAAACCTAAGTGTAGTTAAACAATTTGGAATCAAGAAATTTAAAGCAGGGTTGAAGAGTCTACTTAACAAAGTAGTCTTGACACTTTTTTCATATTCATTTCACCCATTCAGGTATTATTGTAGTTCTGGAAAATACAATATCAAGGTACCAAGTACAGAGGCTAACCCAAAGACTCCATTCAGCTTATTTTCCCCTAAAAACTCAACCCATTAGAATAAATGCTACCCAAGACAAGTACACTGATGGAAATGTAAGCGTACTTACTAGTAAACACACACAAATACACATTATGTATAACAAACTTAGTTGAACATCAAATCCATCAATAGGAGAATGTTCAACTAAATTTTCTTTGTTTTTTTTTTTTTTTTTTTTATATAAATTTTATTGATTTTTTTACAGATTGGAAGGGAGAGAGACAGAGAGCTAGAAACGTCGAGAGAGAAACATCGACCAGCTGCCTCCTGCACACCTCCCACTGGGGATGTGCCCGCAACCAATGTAAATGCCCTTGACTGGAATCGAACCTGGGACCCCCCAGTCCGCAGACCGATACTCCACCACTGAGCCAAACCGGCCTCGGCTTTTCTTTTTTTTTTTCTTTGTTCTTATAATAGAATTTCAGCAGGCTTCAAAAAGAATTGTGTAAATCTATTCATAAAAAGATCTATGTGATATAATACTACATTTCTTTTAAATAATTTATATGTGAATTTTGATAAAATTAGGGATATCTAGAAGAATTAAACATAAGGTTTTCATGGAGATTTGGATATTTGGGGAGGACATTATTTTGTATTTTATATATGTACCAGAGGCCCGCTGCACAAAATTTGTGCGTGGTAGGTCCCTGGGCCTGGCTGGTGATCAGGGCCAATCAGGGCCTTCCTTGCCTGCCCCCTCGCTGCCCACTGGGGCCTTCCTTCATTCAGTGTCACCTCCTGGTTGTCAGAGCATATCATAAGGAGTGATCAAACTCCTGAGGGGTCACTTTGCATATTAGTCTTTTATATAGAGATATACTTATATTAGCTGAAAGTTTGATCAACATGTATTACCTCAACAATTATAAAGCACTAAAGTTATAATCAATAATTATGTCACTTTGTTCAGGTATATTTGAATCTTTAGATTTTCAAAAATGGATTATTTTGTGCCTATGAATAGTTTTCTGAACCTACAGTCACCTTTAATCATTTTTATCCAATTTATTTGGCATGGTTTTAAAATCATTTTTCAGTCAATTTATTCTTAATTTTGAGGTGCTTAAATAGTGAAAAGTTTTTTTTTTTAAGAAAGTAAAATCATTCTACAAATATTTCTCATTATAAATTCATAAAATCAGGTCAAATAAAGATATATGTCATAAATATTTTGATTGAAGATGACATTTATGTGAACAGAGAGGGATTTAAACAGAATTAACCAAGAAGTTTAAAATTATTGGAATGGTTCATACTGCAGGTTGTATGTTCTCATTTTACTTTTTCTACATTTTTCCTTTTTCTTTGATGGTATGCATTGATATTTTAATAATAAATATAAATTAGATAAGTAAAAATAATAACAATAAAATATATAAATAGAAAACTTTGAGAGGTTGGAAGATTTTAATTTCTAAGTAGTTATCAGTCAAATACATATCTTATTTAGAAATGGTCTGATCATTTTTAAAAAATTATCATGCTGTTTCTTACCTCACATATTTAGCCCAAAACATCTTGAACATCTTTTCATGACAATACAAAAATTCTACCTTATTATTTTAAATATACTTTAATATATTATAACATTTTAAAACAATATCCTATTATATTTGTAGATATTTTTATAATTGTTCACTATTATATTACTAAATATTCTTGAATTTATTTTTTTTCACACGTGTTTATTCCTGGGGGAAAATGACTGTATGTTAAAATGCTTGAGCATGTTCATTTAAAATGTTGACAGATATTTCCATATTGCTTTCACAAGAGTTGAACCAATTTCTATTTCTATCAGTAGTGCATGAGAAACTCTCATCCTAAGGATAATCATTTTCAATCAAGTCATTATTTTTACTCAATTGGATTTCAACCAGCATGTTTTTTACCAAATTGTTTTTACCTAAATCAAAACCCCTCACTCCTGACATTTAGAAAGATCAACCTGCTTATATCTGTTACACCTTTGAACAATTCCCATAAGCATATTACATCCTTCTTTAATCTTTAAGAAAGCAACACAAATTTAGTGGTTGCTCATTAGTCATGCAGAGCATTATTTTTTAGGAATTTCTTATCTGACTTTATATTAAATCATTTTTATCAATACCACTGAAAAAAATTAGATGAATTATCTTTTCCCATGTACATTATAATATACAATCTAGTAAGTTAGAGACTTTTGCCTGCCTTGATAATTGATATATCACCAATGCTTAGAGCAGTAAGTATCCAATAAATATTTATTGAATGAAAAGTGTAAGTTTAGCTAGTTTAAATTAATATGGGATTGATCTCAATCTTGTTAGCTATGTAAGTTACCATTAAATGCCTGTCCCTCAATCATTCACATCCCCCAACTTAAAAACAGAAAAATAAAAATCTCTATGTAAATTTAATTAATAAATCCATTCAGTGGTTAAGAGCAGATATGGAAAATCACCTGAAAGAAAAACAAATTCCTCCCTAGCCAACAGAACTTGAATATTACCTGATAGATAGTAGCCACATATCTTACAGGAAAATGTGCCTATCAAAGTAGAATAGTAAAATAATACTTATAGGAGCATAGAAAAGAATATAGTCACCTTGGAAAACATGGAAAGTGCACAACCAAGTACTATCTAGGGTAGAGGATGTATCACCCATTGGACTTTGAATATTTCTAGTCCTATTGGCAAAGTTATTCTTGGAGCATACAGGGGGTTTGAGCCAAAGACCTTTGAGTTTTCTGGAACCTTTGGCATCCCATTCCTAAAATGAGCTAGGTGCATCATGCCATCTAAGCCTGATGCAGTAACATTCCATTCCACATCTGCTCATTCTGACTCCATGATCTCATTGTGACAAGGCTTCCCATGTAAGTCTGCCTACAGGGAGAGGCATGCTGCTTCTACAAACTGTGATTATTTGATATATTGTGGATTAATGGTTCCTGATTATGATTTTGTTCCTCATTCCAGTTTACTATATAGAGAAAAACTAGGTCATTGTGAGTAATTTTAGTTAGCCCAGACAGCTCTCAGGACCTGACCATTCCTGAACACTAGCTGAAACAGGAAATGTCTAGGTCTCTAAGTAGAGACCAGATTCTGGAAAGCATCAACCTAATTGACTTAGAACCCAATAAGTTCCTGCCTAACTCTACGAAGTCTTCCCTAGAAAATGTGCCACCACTTTTGGTTTAATTTCCCCTGCTGTTTTCTGATAAACTACTATTAAATTATAATGAGGCTTGTAAAAAGTGCTATGTAATCTGAAAACCACAGAAAATAGATTAAAATATTAGTTTTTATTTTTAGAGTTATATTTATACTCTTACTATGAGACAATCATTTGTATGAATTAATTCCTTAGTGTCAAGATTGTCTTTGTCAGTGTTAGATAAAAATACCTTAATTTCATGTATATTATGTTTCCTAAAAAAGGAATGAAACTAAATTCACCCATTTGAACATAATGATTATTGTATTATGACACAGGTTCTTAAGCTGCCAATGTTTCTTCTTTGTGCTAGAAATACAAACAACCTCCTCCCCACTGCCCCCAAAATACTCTCCCTAATTACTGAATGTCTTAGTTATATCTCCCTGTTTAAGGAACTCATTTTTATGATTATTATGCCTCCTTCTGTGCTCTATTAAAATAACTGAAATTACCTGAGTCACATATAACCTTGAAAGGGAAGCAGAGTCAAGCTCCTGTGTGTGATTAATTCAGCGTTTTAAAAAAGATGGACATTCTTTTCCTTCTATACCCAACGTTCTCCAGAGTCAAACTTGAAGCAATTTCATACACTGATGGTAAAGTAAGTCAGCATGCAAATGCAAACCTATTCTTAGAAAGTTTCATTTTCTAGATTTCATGCATTTAAAATGTAAAAGCAGTCCACACTGGGTTTTATTCTCACAGAAGTCATATCTCGCTATAAAAAGGTCCTCTTTGTTTTTCATACAACCCTTCAAATTAATGAGATCACTTTACCTATTACACCTATTCCTTACTCTTTTTGCTCAGGTGGAAATTATAGGCCTTCCCATTTGAGTAAGATAATTAAATAGAACATCATAAGTGCTTAATAAGTACACAATACAAATGTCATTGAGTAGATTAATTAAATCTAGCATCTTAAATACTGTGATAATCTAATATTCTAATCAAAAATAAAAAGATATTCCTTGAAGGAATAATGTTTACCCTAAAGGGAAAAGGAGCTTCAGTTTCCAGCGGTGAGGTTTTGGATCTGGACCCTGGAGTGATCTTTGGAACAGTTCCTGCTGTAGGATGCCTGGGAAGAGGCTGTAATCGAAGTGGAGGCTGCATAATTCCTGGGGCGGTATGTGGTCGAGGGGCCGTCTAGACAATTAGGGGAAAAAATCCATTTAAATTAGTACCTTGACATGTTTCCAGAACCAATTAATAACCCTACAAATTGACTAGAGTAATTAATGGTGCCTTTTTACCGAACAGATTAAACTTTAATTATGTCTTTCCATTATACATGCCCTTATGACCTGAAGTATTTGTTAAAACATATGGTGTGGAAGTTCTCCACATAACTAAATGCCACAATTATGGAGGACTCTAGACAAAGGAGATGTTCTCTGTCAGGTTCCTGTATTTTATTCATACTGTAAACTCGCTGACAATACCTAATTTATGCTGTGTGCACAGATTAGCTTTGCTCAATTAAATGTTAAGTTGAATAATGTCCCTATTTTAGAGATTTAAAGGAATATGATTGGAATGGACTCATTCCATTTAAATGTTTGCCACATGAATTTTACTATGAGTCCTCTAAGTCATAAGATTAGTGCCGAAGTATAAGCAATATGATTCAAAACAGAGGGAAGGTAAATGCTTAACTGTAATGTATGACTATTATTAGGTCAACCTCTTCCTTGAAATATTAGAAAAACAAAAATGAAAAGTAGTAACTGGCAACTTTGGAAAACATTGTGAACTAAACTGAGATTTTTTTGCAGGCTGGGAGTTTTCCAATTGCCCCTCTTTTGTCCTTTCTCCTGCTGCAGCCTCTGGGAGTCATTTCTCTATGGACTATACCAACTGACCTCAGATTCCAGTTAGATTTGGCCAAAGGCACTAGCAGGAGATCAAAAGATAGGAGGAAATGAGATGGGTGATTTATTTCTTCTGGACCCTTCACGCCAAGGTTGCGATGGGCCAGCTGGGGCTTTCCACCAAGTCCACAGCTCTATCAGGAAGCTCTCTCCCAGCTTACAAGTAGGAGAGGCTCTCTGTCCAAACCCTTTCTTCCCCCCACAGGCCAAAGTGGTGTGCCTCCCCATTGGGCTGACCCCAGCAGGCTAAACATCCCTAGTAGTTTTTCCTTATCCTGTCTGCTCTTTGTAAATAGTTTCTTTATTAAACCCTTCCTAATTACCCTATTTGTGTAAGCCATCTGTTTCCTGCTGAGACCCTGACTGATACACTTTCTAATCCAGAAAATACTGTCGAGAGAACCAATCATGCCAGTATGGAACATGGCGGCTGTCTTTTGTGGCACTGACAGAACATTATAGGTTTACTATAAAGAGCAGCAATGTTTCAAAAGTGAGGGGAAAAAACAAGGCTTTTGGCCCAATTGTTCTAATATAATAAAATAATAAAAAAACTTGTTAAGAAAAATACATGCACTTTTAGACCCGAGGGTATGAGGATAGTATACAAATGACTCATAATGAGGTTTAATAGATTGATTCTAAAGAATGGTGAGCAAAATACTCAGCTACATAAAAGTGTAAATACATTTTTAAAAATGATAGGGCAGCTTCTACCACCAAAAGCTGGTCTCCATGCCATCCTGACAAGCATGTTCTATGTGATAAATATCCTATTTTATTAAGTCAATATATATTGAATTCCAATTATAGACACTATGAAGAGATTAAAAAGTAATTTTGACATCTAAGAGTGACACAAGACAATTAGTGCCAAATGCCCCATACAAATATTACTAAAGGGACAATATAACAAGCATAGTTGGGAACTCACAGCAGTTAGAACTAAAGTTATCTGGAATAAGCCAATGAGATGGGAAAATTAAAGGTCTTGGAAGCAGTTATATTTTATTCAAATGGATGAGCAACAGAAGAAAATGGAGGAGAAAAGCAAAGAACTGGTGTGAACATCTGAGTAAGAAGAGAAGCAGTTGTAAGCCAGACACGGGAAGGGGACAAAGATAATAGTCCCCAATTTCTGTTTTCCTTTCTTCACAAGTAATAGAATTTTAATCAGGAAGCATGGCTATTATAAATAAAGACTGCATTTCCTAGCATCTCATGTAATTCCGTATAGATATATGCTCAGTTTTGAGTAATAAGATGTGAGCAGAAGTGACATATGAAACTTCCATATCATGCACTTAGAGGAGCATCTGAGTGGTTGATGACTTTATAGAGTAGAGCTGAGATCCATGCATGTGCATTGTCTATGCACAAGCCTATATCCTGACCAAGACACAAAAACCAATGAACTGACAAGAATTGGATTTCAGGAAACAGAACATAAGCCTATTCAAGTCCAAAAGTGCCAGGTCGTAATACCCACCTACAAAAAACAAAAAACAACAACAAAAACAAAACAAGCTAGAGATATCTGAATGAGGGAATCAGATCACCAAAAGAATTCCTTTGAACTCCATGAAATTCAAATGCCTTAAGACTCCTGTCATATAATCCAACTGAACACAAGAACATTGAAAATCGAATGTAGGAATTCAAAAAAGAAGGTTCCTATAAAGTAGGACATGATCAATGGTCTGTTGTGCTCTAAATTTTACTTCTCTGCATTTGCATACAGATATCACTCAGTTAGATGAGTGTGGCAATCAAATGTTTAACTGATTACATTTATCTCTAAAAACAAATCTGCACCATTCAACCAACAGCTGTGAGCTACAAACTGTTGTAGTTCACATCAAAAGCCACATTAAATTGGCTATATTTTAAATTGTTCATAATATATTTTCTTGGAATAAACATGGCACTGTAGCTTAACATTTTCAAATCTGTACCAGAATGTGAATCGAAATTGACTACCTGGTGATTATTCAGCTTAGCTGAGCATTTCTAATTCTTAGTGGAAGATCTCAGGGGGTGCATTTTCCAAGCCTGTGCAGAATTAGTTGAATGACTTTCCAGAGTTTTAATGGGAGCAATACAGCTAAACGCTTATATGTTATTTTGAAAGTTTAGGTGCAATTAGTGACCAAATGCAATAACTATTCACTGGATGCTTTCCTTATCCCCTCAAGAAAGTTAAAAGCGAAAAATCGATGGCAGTATCCCCAAAGGATTTTTTTTTTCTTTGTCTCGATGGCACTTGGAGGTCAGGTCAGGAGTCAGATTTAAAGGATATGTATCCAGGTTGGGAAAACAAAGAGGAGGACTTGAATTTCTGTGGAATGGAAACTACAATGCCAAGATGACAATGGATATCCCTTACAGTGCAGACTCGCCACAGGGGGTGACCAAGTGAAGAATTGTGGCTTACCAGATAGAAAGGCTTCTGAAGTGCTGGTGTCAGTGTTTCCTATAATTTTTAAATTACTTTCTCATTCCTGCCACATTAAGATCTCCTGGATGTATCATAAACTACTTATTGAGGGTGTTCAGCTGGAAAATTGAAAAGCAAGCCTTTCAAGGGTTTTTCCACTCGGAATCAGGTGGGAAGATAGAAAACAGCACTTGATTGTTTCTTTTGTTTCACCCAGTTTAAGCTTTTGAGAGTCTAGTGAGTTTGCCACCTAATAAGAGAATTATTTGTGTATGTATGCATTTAAATGAAGCTTGGAAATATGGTAGCAACAAAGGGAAGGCAGTTGCTTTTCATAACTTGAGCTGTTCACCCGGAAATGTCAAAACATATTTACCTTCTGAAAAATGTCAGAGCTTAACACTATATGTGATGAACAATGAACCTGCTTTAGCAATCTGTGAAAGCACTGCAATGTCTCCATAAACATTGTGCAATCTAAAAAAAAATTGTTCATGCTAACAAGGAAATACATTAGGCTACACAAAGCAAGAATAAAGACGTAATCAAGCAATTCATTTACAGCTTAAACCATCAAGCCCCAACAAATGTTTTGCAAATCTTTTCCTGTATCTATATTGTTTCAAGCTACCTTACCTTCCTTCAAGCAAATACCACCTCTACTGTATAAATGAATCAAACTAGAAGGAAAGGTCAGTGTGCAATTTCTTTAAATAAAATTCCTGCACATTTAATTATTTTTATCTTAGAGTATATGCACATACTTTTGATAAATGAAATACAAATATAAGTATTGGCCCCAAATGCTACAGAGTACCATTGAATTTGTGTCCATAAGTAAGCACTACAAGTAAGGTGAGAGTCAAAGGAACAGCAAGAACAAAATGCAGAGGTCAGAAAATATAGCACAAGTATAGAACAACTAGTAGTTCAATTTGCTGCATTGCAGGACACTAAAGGGTAATTGTGGGGATAGCTAAATTGAGGTCATATGGTTCAGGGTCTTAAATGTCAAGTGAAAGAGCCTGTGGTTTTCTATAGGTGACACAAAGTAAGTGAAGGTATTTGGGCATGTAAATAACATAAGTAATCTCTTCCTAAGGCAAATTGACCTAGCAGTAACAGGCAAAATGAATTCAACAGGGGTGATGTTGATTAGAGGTGGGCCATTCAGTAGAGACAGAGTTGAATAGATATAAGACTATGCTTTTATTCAGTAGAAGTCTCAGGTTTATATAGACATCTAAGCAAAGAGCATTCTTTCTAAGAGTAAGTAATTATAAATGGCTCTGTTGGGACGGTGCATGACAGAGAGTTTAATATAACTCACCACTGTTATTGGACTGGAATGTCCTTCATCAACCAGAACACTACAACCACGGTTAGTCTTTGGGCCCACTGGTGGGTGGGGAGAGAGCACTGGCATGTTTTTTTCTATAGACCATCTTGTGGGCTCTCCCTACAATAAGAAAGTAATTTAACAGATCAATGCATAATTAGAAAACTAGGTTAGGTTAGTGCCTACCAGGTAAAAAATACGATATGACTAAAGAAGTCCATTGTCATTATTTTTAAAATCTTCCTTCTGAGGTCTATCAGGATAGGCAGAAAAGGTTTCTACAGCTGTACTGGGGAGGTGGGCATGGTAGTGATAAGCAGGAAACCGAGTCTGCTTTATTCAAAGAAATAGCTACAAGAGCAGTGTATTCTCAGTTTTAGCAAATACATACATTAATCGGCTTTAAGCAGATCACTATAAGAAGCATAATGCTCCTCACTACTCTGATCAGTAGAGAATACTAGAAAGTATTAATTTTCTACCTTAAAAATTTATTAAATAAAAAAAAATTATTAAATAGCTGGGTGGGCATGGCTCAATGATTGGGCATCAACCTATGAACTAGGAGCTCATGGTTTGATTCCCAGTCAGGGTACATGTCTGGGTTGAGTGGACTTGATCCCCAGTGTGGGGCGTGCAGGAGGCAGCCAATCAATGGTTCTCTCATCATTGATGTTTCTACCTCTCCCTCCCCCTTCTTCTCTAAAATCAATAAAAAAAAATCTATATTTTAAATTATTACATAATACCCTAAGAAAAAGTTGTTTCCATGTTACATAAAAGAAGCCAAAACATACTAGTAGGTCTTTCACTAAGTGCAGCTGTAAAGTGAAAATTGTTACAAGTGAAAAACATACAAGGAGGAACTGGAGTGTCTATCACAAATCTTCCAATGCTGTAGGCTCACTGGGTGAGAGTAGATCACACACCTCTTCAGGCAGCACCAGTCACTCTTTATTTCCAGTGGCCATTTTTCTCCATCAACGAGTCAGCAGTAAATTATAGAATCTATAACTCAGTCCTTGATATAGGACAGATTTGGCAAAGTTGAATTAATCACAAATCTCTACACCCTAACGCTTCTGATCTTGAAAAACTGACCTGTCTTCTGTTATTTAACAACAGTTTTGTAACAAGATTATCTTTTGGCCATGATAAAATAGAAAGGTTTGAGTCTATCAGGCAAGAAGGAAACATTACTATCTTAGATAGCGAGTCACTCTACAGAAGCTTTACAAATATTCATCAGTTTGTGAAATGTCTTAGGCCTCACATTTGTAATAAAACACAGAAAAAGAAAAATAATATGTTTGAATGGCTCAAGAAATTGAGTAAAACTGCTAATCTACATTGAAACCTTTCAAACATGCCTAATTGAATATCTGGTCTCTTGGTTCAAATTTATATATTTCCTAAGTTTACTTCAAAGAAGAATATAAAATACAAGAATAGAAAACAAATAGGAAATTTTGAAATACTTTATACAAAATATCTAAATCTTATGCTCTTGTTTTCTAAGGTTGATTTTTCCTACCAGGTATTCTTTAGGGTCACATTTGCATAAAAATGTGCCGTTGAATAATTCTTAGAATGCCCTATATTCAATACATCAAAAACATTTCCATTTATTTTTACCTTCTTAAGACAAAAAAGACAAAACAACAACAACAAAAAAACCAACAACAACAAAAAAATCCTTAGGCCTCTATCACATAGCAGCCAAGAAAATACAAAAACTTAATTCCAGGTCTGAAAATAATGTTTTCAAGTTTTTCTTTGAAAGTTTTCAAATTTTCTTTGTGCTTCATAAAACATTTTGCACGGGCAGCTCCTATTTTGTCATGATCTTTTGTAATAATGGTGGCCAAGATTTAGGCGTGGAGAAACCATCATTTGACCTCAGCTATAACTTATCCCAAAGAGCCCCCAGAAACTTGAATAATAGCATCATTGGCTTCCAAAATCGTAAAATAATATTATGAGATGAAAGAGAGTTATGTGGCTTCTTACCTTAAATCTCTGAATTCGCTCCTTTCTGGCTAACGTCTCCAGTTTCTTTTTAATTTCAAGCTGATGGTAACGCTAAGCATACAGGAAAAATGGAGTAGAGATTCATATCAATTACAGCAACAATTTTTTTTAAGGGAAAATAAGCCGACCAGCTAACTGAGTCTCAATTACCCCTCCTGTCATTGAGATGGAGAAGAATCACCTGCTTTAGTGTGCAAGTGGGAATATATATTGGTATAACCCTTTAGAAAGCCAATATAATATATTTCAGAAAGCCAATATAATATACCTCAGATAGGTAAAAGTGTCCCTTCCTTTTACCAATAAATTTCACTTCTAAAACGTAGGAGGAAATCTGGATTTTTTAAAAATGTACATATAATACTATCTAAATGGCCCAAAGATACTATATAAAAGGTTTTTGTTGCCTGGCCAGCATGGCTCAATGGTTGAGCACCGACCTATGAACTAGGGGGTTGAGGTTTAATTTCCTGTCAGGGCACATGCCCAGATTGCAGGCTGGATCCGCATTGTGGGTTGTTTAGGAGGCAACAGATCAATGATTCTTTCTCATCCTTGATAATTCTATCTTCCTCTCCCTTTCCCTTCCTCTCTGAAATGAATAAAAATATATTTGAATAGGCTTTTGTTTTAGTTGTTAGTAGTATTGATCTCTTCAAAGCAAAAATTCAAAAGCACTATTAACTTTAAAGAGAATGGTTAAGTTTTTGGCATATCCATGTAATAGAATAGAATAGAATCATTAAAATTAAGTTATAAATATTTTGTCTTTAAAAAATGGAAAATATATGTAATACACAAAGAAAGGAAGATACAGAATTGCACAGATTGCAATTTAATTTATCAAGTTCATATTATGTGCCTGTCCCCATGCTTGGGGGGGGGGAGGGAATTTTTTGTACATCATCTCTTCCTGAACAACTCTAATTGCTAAGCAGTCTTATTTTACAAAAGAAGGCAGAGGACCATGAATTTTTCCTCAAATCACACAGTGGTTGAATTTTTAGTTGTTGTTGGATTTTTGTTTTATTTTGTTATTGGTTTTTATTTTCCACAAAACCATGGTCTTCTAAAAAATATCATGCTTTTATTAATGTATAAATATGAATAGAGACTAAAAGAGAAGCAATTATCTTTGAGAGGAGGTATTAATGTGGTTATTTTCCTTTTTCATACTTTCTTATGTTTTCCAATTTTTCTATAATATGTTAGTCATGTAATTTGTGTATAATTTGAGTTGAAATTATTCATACACATCTGAGAGCACTGTGAAGTGTTTTTCCTGTTCTTGAGCCCCTCCAGCTGCCCTAAGACTGTGCAGACTCAGTCATTCCCTACCTCAGCATCACACTTCCCTTTTCAATCTCCCCTTCTGTTCTCTCTCCCACTTCTCACCAAACTTGATTAGATTCTATGTCAACTACTTTCCATCTTCCATTTATTCCCAATCACCAAAGTCTCCCACTCCCAACACACCTCATCACCACCACCCTTGGACCTGCTTTTATCAGGGCCACCACTGTCTTTGTCCTCTGGGTCAAAACTGAATTTCTCGTGTCCCAGTACCCACCTTACATAACCATTCTGACATTTGTGAGACTCTCCTGGCTCGCAGGCATGTTTTTCACCACTGGAAGGTTCGTTTCCAGCCTGTGTTGTTGTTGTTCTTGATCTCCTGCAATGCACACACCCCCACCCCCTGCCAAGCTAGAAACCTCATCATTTCTCTGGGCTCCTTCTTCACCCGTCCTCACTCAGCCAGTGTCTGTCTTCCTCCCTCTTCCCTGCCTCTGCAGACAGCTGCATCTCCCCAGTGTTTCAACTCCTGCTGTTAGCTCACACCCTTTGGCAACAGCTTCCTAATTGACCTCCCACCTCCAATCTTTTCCAGCTCATTAATCCATCTCCCACATTTTTAGCAACATCATCTTTCTAAAACAGCTCTGCTCATTTGTTTCAGTCTCCTGCTAAAAAATGTTTCATCGCCTCATCACCTATACTCCAAACCTAGTTTGGAATTGAAGGCTCTCCAGAAACTGGGCCCCAGCTTATTGGAGAGTGTCTCTTCCTGCCATCAGTTCAACCAATTCACTGTGCAGTCTGGCCTCAGTGAGCTTTCCTTCCCATCTGCAATGTCCTGTCATATCTCTGTAATCTCACTCCCTGAAATGCCTTTTTCATGGTTTTATGCGAGGGCTTATTGTTTTCAAGGTCCAGTTCAAATAGCAGGATCTCTGTGCAGCTTCCTCTGACTCTCACAGAGGAAAGCCACCAATCCCTACTTTCCTGAGCTCAGTATGCCCATTTCTTTCTTCTGGAATTTGATCACTTTCTACAGTGTGTTGTGTGTTTTGTTTTGTTTTTTAATTATATCTTGCAGCTATACATCACATAGCCTCATAATGATACATAGGTGAGCCTGATACATATTAATGTTTGTTGCATGAATGAATACATGAATATTAACAGAACTAATTAGTAATAGCATCATCCTAAACTAAATGTGGCAATTTAGAAATAGTCTATTTGTTAATAAATTTATATATTATATTTTGTAATTATATATTATACTAGAGGCCCAGTGCATGAAATTCGTGCAGGGGGGGTGTCTTTCAGCCCAGCCTGTACGCTCTCCAATCCAGGACTGCTGGCTCACAACTGCTTGCCTGCCTGTCTTCCTGATTGTCCCTAACTGCTTCTGCCTGCCAGCCTGATTGATGCCTAACTGCCCTCCCCTGCCAGCCTATTTGCCCCTAACTTCCATCCCCTGCAAGCTTGATCACCCTCAAATGCCCTAAGACTGTGCAGACTCAGTCATTCCCTACCTCAGCATCACACTTCCCTTTTCAATCTCTCCTTCTGTTCTGGCCTGGTCCCTCCCAACTGCCCTCCCCTGCTGGCCTAATCGCCCATAACTGCCCTCCCTTGCTGGCCTGGTCCCTCCCAACTGCCCTCCCCTGCTGGCTATCTTGTAGCAGCCATCTTGTGTCCACATAGGGGCAGCCATCTTGTGTGTTGGAGTGATGGTCAATTTTTTATTACTCTTTTATTATATAGGACTAGAGGCCTGGTGCACAAAATCCATGTATTGGGGGAGGAGGGGCGGAGGAGGTCCAATCTGCACCTTCTCCAATCTGGGACCCCTTGCAGAATGTCCATCTGCCAGTTTAGGCCCAATCTCTAAACTGGCAGTCAGACATTCCTCTCACAATCCTGGACCACTGGCTCCTAATTGTGTACCTGCCTGCCTGCCTGGTTGCCCCTAACTGCCTCCCCTGCCAGCCTGGTTGTTCTGCCACTGCGCCCCCCACCAGCCTAGTTGCCCCTCACTGCCCCCCCCCCCTTACAAGCCTAATCGCCTCCAACTGTCCCTGCTGCTAGTCTGGTCACTCCCAACTGCCCCTCCCCCCACCACCACCATCCTGGTTGCTCCACACAGCCTGCTTGTTGAGTTGTTTGGTTGTCCCTTTCTAACCCCCTGGTCAGCCTGGTCATAGACAGCCATCTTGTGAGGGTGTGAGGGTTAAATTGAGTACTACCTCTTTATTATATAGGATATTATATTTTTACCATTTATTTCAGATATTTTTCCAAACTTTAAGAATACACAAAGATGCTTAAATAATAGCATATTTGCCAGTTATAATGTGCCAGTTATATGAAAGTTTGGAAAACCTCCAGGATCAAGGCTAATATAGAACTTTGTGCCTACTGATTAAATTTGAAACTAGGTATAGGTTGATTTTACACTTTATTATTTTTTTAAAATTAGTTATAGAATAGCAACTAATACTTTCATAAGCAAGTGGATTTAGGGACCATAAACAGTGATTCTACATAATTCATGCACATGATATAAACACAAAATGGATTCCTAAATTAACAGATCACATACAGCTTAACTAAACACAACACTTGCTCAATATAATGGTAGCATAATTTTCAGTGGCACTAAACTTAGTAGTGGTTTACTGATGATTCTACAGTTGTTCATGAATGTTTACTGCGCCCACAGGTCAGGTCAATGGTTTTATGAGCCAAGTTTTCTGGATTTATTGCTCTATGTTCAAGCCAAGAAGTGACATGCTTTTTCACAGAGATTAAAATGGTATTGATGCTTGAAACTACAAATTTCATGGTGCAAGGCTAAAATAATTTATCAAGTTAGCTAGATATCCTACTAAAAATGCCATGTCAGATTAAAAAGAAATGTTGTTGATTGTAAGTCCATGCTGACCAATGTGGCCTAAAGTAGGAGGGAGAGCAGATGTTTCAATGCCTATTCCTTGAAATTTAGCATACGGCTGAGCTTCGGAGCCTTAAAAAAATAACAAATCTGAAATAATTCATGGCAGTGGAATTACTGATATTTAAACAGATGTCACTTTTTTTTTTAGCGCGTGGAAATTGAGGTACAGATGGTGAGGATGGTTTTGTTTTCGAGTAGCCATTATGGATTAGAAATCTACATTTGTTAAATTAAATATCACAAAGTATATAATAGTGTCCATATTTTTCTCCAACTGAGATGGAGAAAAGCTTACTTTAGTCTGTTGGCTCCTTGAGAGATATACCTAGAGAGAAATAGAGCATTTCTCAGGTCACCTTATTCCATTCGTTTTTAATGAAATACAAGAAGAATGTCTCTGCCTCGGGATATAGAAGTATTATTAATTATCATATTAGAAAAATATCAGTTATAAAGAAAAGCGTAAATACTTGTACCTCCATATCAAGGACCTTATGAAAAATAGCCTGGGCTAAGCACTCCCGGATATATTTTTGGTGATCCCTCTTCATGATATTTAGTCTGTATTCTTTTTCAGACAGTATTCTTCCATTTCTTGTGATCTGTCATGAATAAATAAGACACACATAGAACTACAAAGCAGAAAATGTAATGTTAGTCACCAAACAGGGAGAGATAGAGAGACAGGGCTTCCTAAACCTAAAGGAGTACACTATTGTGGTTGATAAACTTTCACTTTTAATAAATATTTCATAAGGCAAAAAAAAAAGAGAAAGACAGTCCTATATACCCATCACCATGAAAACACACAGATGGTGCACTTGTTGTTTAAAGCAAGGTTTTCATTAGAGTAGCAATTTTCCCTTGATGGAACCCAGGTGTTCTTTTCATTTCTTTTTTTTTTTTTTGCACACATTGGGGAGGAAGTGGCAGGGTGCTACTAGATACAATGAATAGGAGCAGTGATCACAGGACTGATGATCTCATAGGAAATTTGCTTTGAAAGGCAAAACAGGTAAACTACAGAGGCTCTCATCACTTTGTTTTTAAAATAATTGGCTTCATTACTTTGTCTTCACTCTGCTTTTTCATCTTCCACTCTCCAGCCCAGAATGTAATAGAATTTGTTGTGATTCAGATTTTTTTTTTTTTTGAGTATGGAGTACTGCAGATATAAAGTTATTCCAGATTGGTATCTATTGACACCATTGCAAGTCCCAGGAATGGTAGTTTGTGTTTTTTTTTTTTATTTTGTTTTGTTTTTAAATATATTTTATTGATTTTCACAGAGAGGAAGAGAGAGGGATATAGAGTTAGAAACATCGATGAGAGAGAAACATCAATCAGCTGCTTCTTGCACACCCCCTACTGGGACGTGCCTGCAACCAAGGTACATGACCTTGACTAGAATCGAACCTGGGATCCTTCAGTCCACAGGCCAACGCTCTATCCACTGAGTCAAACCAGTTCTTGGCGGTAGTTTCTGCTTGTTTTTTGGGGGGGTTTGTTTTGTTTTGTTTTAAAGGTAAAGAAGTTTGTTTTAACTGAACAAACTTTTTGTTTTCAGACAATAAAATGAGGTGTCAGTGGAGAAATTACTAATCAGCATAATTTTGAAAATAAGAGTGATTAGATAAAGCTCTACAAGCCAAAATTGTACTAATGTTTTTCTTTTCCTGTCTCTCTAAACCCCTATTTTGTGGGTTTTTTCTAATTTTTAAAATTAAGTTATTATCTGTGTACATATTTTACCATTACCACCCTCCCTCCCCAGAATTTTGTGTCCATTGGTTGTACTTATATGCATGTATACAAGTCCTTTGGTTGATCTCTTATCTCCCCCAGATCTCCCTACCCTCCCTGCTGTAATTTGACTGCTTGTTGCTTTACTGTCTCTATATCTATCTTTTGGTTCATCAGTTTATAATGTTCTTTATTATTCATAAATGAGTGAGGTCATGTGGTGTTTCTCTTTCATTGACTGGCTTATTTCACTCAGCATGATGTTCTCCAATTCCATCCAGGTTGCTGCAAATGATGAGAATTCCTTCTTTTTTATGTCAGCATAGTATTTCATTGTGTAGATATAGCATAGTTTTTGGATCCAATCATCTGCTGACGGGCACCTAGGCTGTTTCCAAATCCTAGCTATTGTAGATTGTGCTGCTATGAACATAGGGGTGCATATATCCTTTCTGATTGGTGTTTCTAGTTTCTTGGGATATAATCCTAGGAGTGGGATTACTGGGTCAAATGGGAGTTCCATTTTCAGTTTTTTGAGGAAACTCCCGGAGAAAAAAGAACCCTCGTGCACTGCTGGTGGGAATGCAGACTGGTGCAACCACTGTGGAGAACAGTATGGAGTTTCTGTTTTTTATTTACAGTTGACCCTTGAGCAACACAGGGTTTGGGGGGTACCCACCCTCACATAGTCAAAAATCTGCATGTAACTTTTGAATTCTCAAAAATATATTTGTCCTTCAGTATCTAAGGGAAATTGCTTCCAGAAACCCTGATAATACCAAAATCTGGGAATGCTTAAGTTCTTTATGTAAAATGCAGTATATGAATGCATATAGTCAGCCTTCAGCATCCATAGATCAAAAACAATACAGGAATTTATTGAAAAAATCCACATGTAAGTGGACCCCTGCAGCTCAAACCTGTGTTACATGTTATTCAAAGGTCAACTATACTTGTTTTTCTTTTCTTTTAATCCTTCCTATGGCAACATTTTTTAAATTATTTTTTTTATTTTTCTGTATGTTCTCTAAAGGTTGTTATTTTTTTCTGGATTGTTTATCTTCTTCCTTTCCACTTGATTAAGGCTGCTCTTTTTTTCAGGTCTAATGTGCGCCCCTGTTTCTCAATTTTGATAACTGTAGGGTTTTGTTTTTTTTTTTTTTTTAGCAATGTTGTTATAACATATTGGAGTGTTGTGATTAAGTTGTGTTACAAGTGATTGACTACTGATAATCTTTTTATATGAATGCATTTTCCAATGAAAGAAAGGTATGTGGCTATAGAAAGTACACTTGGGATTACAATTCAGTCACAGTCTTTGAAATGTGCCATCCACAGAAGATCATTTCATGTGCTCCCATTGGAAAAATAGGTTGAGAACGTGCTGCACCCTGCAGTTAACATGTGTTCTTGTTATCTTTCCCCCCTGGAATTGTCTGATCTCTCCAACTAGACTGGAAGTTCCTACAGGGAAAATGCTCTTAAACTTGAACCTGTCTCAGATTACATAAAAGACAATTGAAAAAACAGATTAGAAATTTTGATGGGGATTACATTTAATCTGTATATTGCTTTGGGTAACATGGCCATTTTAATTTGGTACACCCACAGTGTATGGAAGTTCCTCAAAAATTAAAACCGGTGTTATATCAACAATCCCTCTTCTGGGTATTTGCCTAAAATATTTGAAAACATGTGTTCACAAAGATACATGTACTCCTATGTTCATTGCAGCATTATTTATCATGGCAGAGACATGGAAACAACCAAAGTGTCCTTCAATAGATAATTGGTATAGAGAAGATATGGTACATATATACAATGGAATACTATTCAGTCATAAGAAAATATGAAATATTGCCACTTGTGACAACCTGGATGGATCTTGAGAATGTTATGCTAAGTGAAATAGTCAGATGGAAAAAGTCGCGAACCATATAATTTCACTCCTATGAAGGATATAAAACTGAAAGCAACAAATGAACAAACAAGAAAAGCAAACAAACACTCATAGACACAGACAACAATATGGTGGTTACCAGAAGGAAAGTGGGGTGAGGGCAGATAGAAGAGGGTAAATAAATGGTGATAGAAGGAGACTTGACTTTGGGTAGTGAACACACAATTCACATGATGGATTATAGAATTGTACACTTGAAACCTACATAACTTTATTAACCAATGTCACCCCCAATAAATTTAATTTTAAAAAACTAACTCATTCCATTAACTTTTGACTCAATCGGTCTGGGGTGGGGCTCTAAAATTTGCATTTTCTAACAAGTTCCCAGGTGGTTGCTGAGTCAGGGACTATATTTGAAAGACTACTCTGGAGAAAGAGCTGTACCTTACTTGAGCTGTCGTGCACATAACACATAACCAATGTTCAATTAAGTGCTTGTTAATGATGTCGATAAGTAAATCCAAGTCCTTCCTGTTTACACATAAAGCTCATATTGTTATCCAAAGAAGTAATGTTAATAGTAACCACAATATTTACAACCATTTATTACACATCTCTAATTGCCACAACAATCCTGAGGACTGGGTATCATCATCTTTATTTATAATTGAAAAAGCTGGAACTGACAGAGTTAAGTGATTTGCTAAAGTCTATGTCTTATAAATGACAGCCAACTTCCAGCCAGATCTGTCTGATAACAAAGCCACAGGAGGCACAAAGCAAGCTCTCTGGGACCTCCCAGCCAGAGTGCTAAGCACACAAACAATTAGAACCGAAATGTATATGCTTTCAATAGCATAGCAACAATAGTTAAGGAAAACCACTATGTTTTAAGAAGGTAAACTGCAAAACCCTTTTGTCATCCTTTCTATACCCACACCCACTTCTTTCCATGGAAACCTGAAGCTACTTTTTAATGTCTTTACAGTACATTTAGAGAAATAGGATTTTTTGTTTGTTTGTTTGTTTTGGAAATGATAGTTTTGGAGCTAGCAAAATATATTAATGTGTCAATAAACCACCTAAGAAAATGAAACTGTTTTTAAAGATTCTGTGAAGATTGAAAACAATGCACTTTTTTCCAAAGACAGTCAAGTCCTCTCTACCCTTAATCCTTAACAGTTCTTGGCCCATAGACTGTAGTCAATAAGTGTGTTAAATAAATGAATGAATAGACAAAGAAGTGAAATATGCTGTGGAAAACTCAGGGGTTTTCCTCAATAATTTATAAGTTCCCTTAGCAGTCGTTGTGACCTCCTTTCCTATCTTTTGAAAAACAACCTCAACAAGTTAAATCAGAGCTTTGCAAAGAAAGCAATTTTTCTGAAATGGGGGTCAGGGGAGATGACCCTAATTAGTTCAAAGAGAAAATCAGGAAAGGGAGAGAATTATTGGACTTAATGAAACAAAAAGGCAGGAAGAGCAGAAACCAAATCTTACCAGCCCTGATCTTAAGAGATGCCGCCTTATCCTTGTATTGTTAAAATATCCCACCAGGTGTTTGTCGGTAAGACTATTATATGCTGCAAGTAATCTGAAACAGAAAAAAATGAAACCATTAATCTTTTAAGAAATGCTGCTTGATAACCAAGGCACTTCTTGACTTTCTCATTCCCAAACTGTGCATATTCTCACCCAGCCAGCCAGCCATCCATGTGTGCACTTAATAAACTGGTACTATTGAGCACCTACTGTTTTCTAGGTTTTATGACAAGAACTGGGAGACAGTCCTGATGTTTATCCTAAAAACAAGTATGAAAATCAGGCATGAACAATTAGATTGGTGTAAACAATCCAACAACAGAAATATGTTAAAAAGTCACGGGGACACAGGGCACCAACTCCAGTTGTCAGGGATGTCCTCAAGGAGGAAGCCTAGTGGAGAAGACGGGGTCCTTCAGAGGATGCTTCATTCTCCTGTTATACCCTAAACCCTAACTCACACTTACCTGCACTTCCTCAACATGTCCTCTCATGTCTTCGGGACCCAGTGCACAGTCCAGCCCCTGCCAAGGGCTTGTGGCCACCACCTGTTGGCTAGTGGCCACCACCTGTGATGCACAAGCATCTTTTCTCCCAGGAATGGTTCCTGACACACACAGGGTTTGCTACCCTACCTTCCTCTCCACTCCCCTAGACCCCTGAGTTGCATTACCCATCACACAGTAAGTTATAGTTTATTTCTTAGTCTCTTCTGCTAGGTTTCAAGGCCAGAAGGGTGTGTTATTCTTGGTTATTCCTGTGGGTGTTATTTACTGTGTACTTAATAATGATGTGCTCAATAAATGAAGGCAAAATTTTGTGTGGGACTTATTCTTACTACTATAAATTTCTAAGTTTAAGCTCAGCAGTTTAAACTTATTTACTTCATATATTTCCAGACAATTTCATTAATTCCAGAACCTGCCAAAAAATTATTGATCATTTTTTTAATTTTAGAGTCTTACATGTTAAGAGTTAAAAGAGGACAAACTGGCTCTTTGATTCCATGCTCTACCTCAGTAGATGGTCAACTTAAGACTGTAAGGAAAAGTTTAAAGCTATCTTTTTTCTAAATTTTAACCTATATTTTATTAAATATTACTACCTAACAAAAGCACATACACACATATATATATACAGGTATGTACACATGTATGCAGATATATGCATCTATATATACATACATATATAAAAATGAGTTTGTGCATGTGTGTGTGTGTGTATATATATATATATATATATTCCAAGACAGAGAGAGATAGGCAGAGAAAGGGAGAACACAAGCCTAAATACAGCCAAACCTAAAGCTGTCTTTAAATATATATATCCTATTACCTGTAAGAGAGATTAAGAATTAGTACATTTTACAAGCAGCTGATCCTTAAGTTATTCCAATACCGGAACAGGGACTCATATAGAGAGTTGAGGAGATGTCATTAGCAACCCTTTTATTTAGCTGTTTGCCCTGCCTTAATTACATGGAGATGGCGCTGTGACCTTTTCCTATCTCTTCTGCGCTCATCTGGGGAAAGTCCCATGCTGTCAAATGGTGAGGAGATTTTAATTTTGTGCACAAAGGAGACCGAAAGACAGTTACAAAACCCAGAAGTCAAGGTGCCACGTGAGGATTGCAGACATAGGAACAAGTGTGGAAGCCATTATTTCGCTGGATTTTTGTAAAAAGACAACCCAGGGGCTTCGGTAAAGCATATACAAAACGAGCGCCGATAAGGCTTTGAAACCATCTTTTAAATGAACTGTCTTGGTCTCCTATAGTTCATCAAAGGTTTCCTGTCTTCAAAAGGTCAGCATCGTAGCCCTTACCCTTTCCGAGTCTCAGAATATCTCTTCAGCAGCTCATTTCAGAAAGGTGAGCAGGTGTCTCTCAGTCCTAACAATCATGATTCCACAGGTCACAGATTCTTCAGATAAATCATTAGGCTGATATCATGTACAGCCTTTTGTCTGCTTTCTCAGCTCCAAGTGTGTGTGTGTGTGTGTGTGTGTGTGTGTGTGTGTGTGTGTGTGTGTGTTTCTTTTAATAGATGGTTCTGGAATAGTTGTGAGTGCTAAAACCCTGATTAAATAAAGTAGTGTCAAAAAGATGGGATAACATGCACTTGAATTTCCCTACTAACTGAGAAAATATGCTCTTCTTTTAAACCTCCCTTTGTAACTTTTTAAAAGATTTAGGTGCTAATAAAAGTGCTTAACCAGCTTTGGCACCCACCTCATTTCAATTCTGCTCTCTCAGGCTCTTACTAAATAAATATGTATGCATAGTGCCCCTCCACTCTTACAGGTCAAATGGATCCAGTTCAACTGAACCCTTTACACACACCTGCTTTCATACCTTTCCCTGTTTAGGAATGATTAAGGGTTCAGGTTCGGATACCATTTGCAAAGCAACTCTTTCCAAGACTATCATCACAGGATTCGGGGAATAACTAACTAGTTCTACCTATGCATCATTCCTTTATCACATAATGCCTGAATTATTATTTTTTTTTAAAATATTTCTATTGATTTCAGAGAGAAAGGGAAGGAGAGAGAGATAGAAACATCAATGATGAGAGAGAATCATCAATTGGCTGATTCCTGCATATCTCCTACTAGGGATTGAGCCTGCAACCCAGGCTTATGCCCTGACTGGGAATCAAACCATGACCTCCTGGTTCATTCATCGATGCTCAACCACTAAGCCATGCTGGCAGGGCAATGCCTGAATTATTTTTAACTGAAACTTTAAATGAATGAATTGTTTAATAAGAAGAGTGAGTTATATTCAGATTTAGTAAAACGGTTGTTACAGACTCTTTGTCCTCAGTCCCCCACCCCCAAATTTATATGTCGAAATTCTAACCATAGTGTGGTGATATTAGGAGGTGGGGCCTTTGGGAGATGATTAGGTCTTGAGATCAGAGCCTTGTGACTGGGATTATTGCCCTTTTCAACGAGACCCTATAGAGTCCCTTTGTTCCTTCCACCATGAGAAATGGCCATCAAGAAAAGGGCTATCTAGGAACCAGTTGGTGGGTCCTCACCAGACATCGAGTCTTAAGGCACCTTAACCTTAAATTTGCCAGCTGCTAGAACTGTGAGAAACAGGTTGGTTAGGCCACCCAGTCTACGGCATACTGTTATAGCAGCCGAGACAGACTAGGACAGTAGTCCACACAAACATTTCCACCGTGTCCATGTAAATGTCATGCTTGTCCTGACCCTCAAACCTCCTTCGCAGGCAATGGTAGTACTTCACAGTACCTGCTCTGCCTCACCCTTTCCAGTTGCTCTGCTTCGTGTGTCCAGGTCCAGGTTTGAAGCTTCCCTTGCTTTTATTCAGTGTCAAGAGCTTCCTTGGCCCAGTCACAAACTTAGAGCTGCTTCTGCCTTTGTCCTCTCCATTCACTGCCACCGTTTCTGACATTCCTCCCACCCTCCACTCTTTTTTCTTTCTCGCCCTCAGTGGCCCCCTGAAGTCACCTCACCCTGGGCTTGGTGATTGTGCTGCTCCTGGGGCTCTCCATTTCCTCTCTAAGTCACTTTCGAATCTGTTGTCAAAGCTGGACTTCTTGGTCACCCTGCCTCAGTCCTGCAATCCTCTCTTGCTCCCCTCCCTAGGATCAAGGGCTGTGCTAGTTACTCAAAGGCCATGCTATTCACACCAAGTCCCACAGCAGACTGGCCAGACCAGTATAACTGGTCAATGGGATGGACAAGATTATTTACTCACCCCCTCCCTCCCACCTCAACCTCTTACTCCCCTACCCCCCTCACCATTATCCCCAAGCCTCCCACTCTCCTACCCCCTCCTTCTCCCCGTTTGTTGGGTGGAGAATGACCCACTTTCTGGCTCAATGCCTAGAGAAAAGTCCTCCTGGAAACAAATGCATATCCACCCCCTGTAGTGCCTGAGGGTTAGAGTTGGTGCTGAGTCACTGGGGGTGCTGCCTTCCCAGCTGCAGCCTCTCAAGGCTCAGTCCTGAAAACCCTGCCCCCCACCATGTTGAATGGGTAAATGAGGCTCTGAAGTAATGAAGTCCCGATTCCTATCAGACCCTCCATCTGCCTACACAGAGCATCTATCTCATAAAAGCCCCAGCGACTAGGGGAGGCACTGCAATATTACTCATCAAACGTTTCTTGAGTACCATTTTCACGGCCTGGGATGAGGCACAGGACTGTGAGATAGCACAGATCCTTCACTAAAAAACCCAGTCCACTAGGGAGGTGTGCGTGTGCAGACAGAGAGAGTATGTGTGCACTTGATTTCTTCTTGTGTTATAGGCCAATTCATTCATAGATGGTTACTGAGAGTCTGAGTGTCCCAATATCAGTCCCCATCCCACTCTGCACATCACTTTCCCACACAAACTCTTACTTATTTTCTTCTAGGTCCCTACAATGTGAATAATACCTGTTACATACCTTCTATCTTTCTAAAATGGAAAAGCTCCACAACAAGATTATTGCCTAATGTTAAATCGGTCCTAGGAAAACCTAAGGTAAGGTGTTGTGGGCACACTGATAGAGGAATTCTGCAGCCTGTTCTCCCAACACTGCCTGGCCCCACACTATCTACCCTTGTGAAGGGCAAGGCCTGCAGTGTTCAGACTCCAGCTCCAGTTTGTTGACATAAAAAATCATTAAAACCTGTAAAGAATTTTTGTGAGTTTATTTGAGCCAAACGGTGGGCATATGCTGGGAAGCAGAACCTCAATGAATTGAGATAATGCTCTGGAGAGTGGCAGGTTGCATTTGCATTTATACATTGCAATAAAAGGAAAGGGACTTAGGTGAGTTACATGAAATCCAATGGTGATAGACTAGAGAGGTCAGAGAAAGCAAAGCAGGGAAACCCCTGGGACTGGTTAAAAAGTGTAATGATACACACATACTTAGATGAATGCAGGAACAATTAACATAACAATGGAGGAATCTGTGGTATATGTCCTGGAGCCCAGGCACTGTAGGTGGTGCCCTAAGGGGTCCAGAAAAAGAAAGGGAAGTTGCAAGTTACCCAGACATTTCAAAGGTATGTTATTATAGATG